CCCCCGCCGCCAGGGCGGCCACGGCCCATGCGGCTGAGTGGAGGGTTTCAGGATGGCTTCTTTCTGCTGACCTTAACTATCAGAGATTTTCACTGTCTCCAGACTCGGCACGTCTGTTGGCAGGTGTTCCTGGCACACGGTGCACTCTTCCCTGGGCGCGTGCCCGCTGCCTGCCCGAGAAGACAGCCTGTGACTCCCAGGGTGACACTTTTCCCCATGCATGACATAACTGTAGCCTGCAGCCAGAACAGACGTGGGGAGGAGGGACTGAGGTCGGCCTGAGCGCTCACGAATTCCCAGGAAGAGTAAGCGGCAAGCTTTTCCTGTGTAAGGAAAGCGCATGTGCAAACTGGGTCAAGTTGCTTGGATTTTTTTGTTTGTGGCCAGATTGTAAGTTAGGCTTGCATCCGCTGAGCCTGCTGACCAGGCGATCCCCAACAGTGCCCGCAGAGCAGGACGATTCCTCCTGGAGGGCCAGCAGCACTGTGCCTGAGTCACGTGAGTGGGAAGTACTGGGGGCAGCGCTCCAACCTGGAAGTCCCCATTCGAACTGAATTACGTAATGCCTTGGGAGCAGTTTGGAGAGCGACGGGGTGGGGAGGGGTGGCATTAAACATGATGAAAAGGATTTGATTTTGCTATCTCTAAGTAATTTGTAGTTTTCTAAACCCCAAGGGTTGTAAATTTCAAAATTAAGACAAAAATCTGGCCAAGACAGTGGAGTTAGGATGGGCCTGTCCGTGTTCGTGAAGGGTTTATTTTGGCACGGGGTCTGGAAGTCCGTCTGCCCACCTCACACAGAGCGGCCACTGTCTGTCCTTTTGATTTCAGGGTGTGAGCACATCGGTTCCTGGGAACACGTGGGTGTCCACTCAGTCAGGCCCGGCAGTCCTGTTAGGTCCTAGACTCGGGCTGGACAGGAAGTGCCGGGCTCTGGCGAGAGCCCAGCAGAAAAAAGCGGTTTAGCTCAGCACGGTGCTGGTTCGAGCCTGGTCTAGCATAGGTCCCTCTGACGGGAATGGCCAAGGCCAGGGGACTGTCCTCTCGCCCATCCTCAGAAGGGGCCTTTCCTGGAAGGCTCACGGCCACACGGCCTGAATGCTCGCTGCCTAAACCCACGCCGAGCCTCTGCCTGCAGGCCCATCCGTCTCAGCTCCATTAAAAGCCCAGAGTCAAGGACTGAGAGACCCCGGCCAAGTACTCGGACTCCCACCCTCCCAGGGCTCACGGTCCTTAGCAGCTGGCGAGCCTCCAGGAGGAATGAGGGAGGCCCGCCCTCCGCGCAGCCTGGGCTGCTTTGCCGTGAGGCCCCGTCACATGCCCCGTGCTGGCTTGGCCCCCTCCCTCAGTGAAGAGGGCCCACTGGCTGTTGCTGTCCATGTGGGCCTTGTCCAGAAGCACCTCTGCTCGGGCGGGGTCAAGGCGGATCTGTGCCGGAATGTGTGACCACTGCGTCCGGCCTCCCAGGACAGGGAGGGGCTTGGCTTCTCGGCCCGCTCCTGGCAGGTGTTGTCAAGGTGTGCACCATCCCGGCTGGGACTGTCCACCGGGGCTGCGTTACCGTCCGGCCTCTGCCGTAGGCCGGTCTGGGTCCTTCGGTTCTGGCTTTTTCTATTTAACTGCAGGCGTGGCCACTCTCTTAAAGACGTGCTACCCTAGTTACCCTCAGGAGGGATTGTTGGCTTGCCAGCGTCAGTACTCAGTGTGGGCTCTGTGCTGGGGCAGTGGGACATGGCCCTCAGGCTCTCGCAGAGCCAGGCCCTGGCCACACCACACAGCTGCCTGGCTCATAGAATGGGAAGGGCTTTCTGGACAGGGGGGAGCCTAATCTCCCGGGACACTTCCTGCCAAGCAGTTCTGGCTGCCTCCACCTGATGGGTGCTCCCGACCGGGTTGTCCAGTCTCCAGGGCCCGATCTCAGCAGTCCAGGAATCTCCCCCGGTTCCCAGGGAGAATGGTCTAATGTGCAGTGACACAGCGTCGTCTGACACCGTTTCCTAGGGGGCAGGGGACCATGGCACGCTTCCCGTCTTCACTCCGGTCTCTAGACTGTACCACTCTGAACTGTCTTAACGTTACCGTCAGTTGATGAAGCCAACCCCTACTCAGGACGGCTGGTTTGGGCCTGCTCCCCGGGTCTGGGCTCCGGCGTGTGCGGGCTCAGGCCCGTGCTGCGCGCCGTCGGCGTCTGTGCTGTGTAGTGTATATAGTGTGTATGTGTACATAGGTGTACATAGCGTGTACAGCGGGGCCGCACAGCCTTGTTCAGAGTTTCTCTGAGAGTTGTAATGTAAACCGAGCTGGGTCCCCGTGGGCGGGGAGGTTTGCTGGGTTTTTCTCAACTCCACTTTCCCTTGGTAAGCCTGCCTGAGAAGGGCCATCAGATCAGAATCTCCACTTGGCCCCAGGAAAGTTCCAGACAGAAAACGTTCCGACAGGATGGCATCTCTTCTCGCAGCTGGAAGCCAGTGTACCCTCATGTCCAGAACTAAGGGGGCATTTCTAAGTCTGCTTTTCACTTACCTACGGCTTAACTGGAAGGAACTTGGTGGTTAGAACCAGCGACCTTCCCAGGCACTCGGAGCTCTGCCACGTGGTCACAGAGCAGCCCAGCCCGTGTCAGGGCCTACTCCCAGAGGCGGTAGCCACCCCCCGCCCACCCTGGGCTCAGTCAGCAAGATGTGACAGAACCCCCCCGGACGGGGCTGACAGGCACCACAGGTAGCCACCAAGTTCTTCTGAAATAAGCATGCAGTGGGTGGCCGACCGCGTGGCCTATAAACCCCCATCTTAAATGACCCTGCAGCTGGGAGCTCGGCAGTGAAACCCGCCAGCCTAACTCCTTTCAGTACAGTAGGCGTTACAATCTCCAGGTGAAATCGGATTTTAATGTGGACACGCACGGCCTTCGGGTAGCCATGAAGCTCCAGGTGCCAAGTGTTCCCTGTCCGGGCCTGTCCCCAGCCTCCCCCGCTACTGGGCATTGGGAGGCGGCCCTGGGCGGCGGGGCCTGCCGGGAGCGGTGGCCGGAGAGCCGCAGACTCCCGTGGCCCCCAGGCCCCTCTCCTCCTTTTCAAAGTGAGCAACCAGAATGTCAGACACTGAGCGAGGCCGCAGCGCTGTGCCTTTCGGGAGCCGGTGGGCACGCGGCCCGCAGCCCCGTGCCGGACGGCAGGAAAGCCGTTTCCGCTCGCTCACTGGGCGGCCAACGCTGACTGCGACCTGTCCTGTGTCATTGCCTGTCGTGACAATCACGCCATGGGAAGAGGCTTTCCAGGCTGCTGGAAGCGTGACAGTCTAAATGAATCTCATAAAGACTTTCCTTTGGGGCTACTTAACAGCAACCCGAGAATAAACTGAACCAGAAACCGTGCAGAGGGCCCAGCTTTAATCCCGGCATGTACTTAGGAAGCCGATCATCCGGTGTGGACACTTCCAACACGCCGCAGAGGGGAGCGCTCGGCATGTCACTGGACCGCGTGTTCAAGTTGGTGTTCGGATGCTTTCCTCCGGGAGGGCAGTCAGGTGCCTGCGGCCCGGAGCACTCGGCGGGGCTGCGGCCGCGGACAGCTGGACAGCACAGACAGCTGGACAGCTCACGTGCGGAGCGTTCTTCTACATCTCCGCCTCCGGTTACTTTACAAAGCAGTGTTCAACGCGTTTTCTAGAACGGAAAGGCTGCACGTTTTAGTCCAAACTGTAGTTGGCCCTCGGTTCAAATGTAGCTGCATTACCAGCCCCTCTAAACGCTGTCTACGAAAGGAAAATGCAGGGGTTAGACTTCCTCGGGACCGTTTCTGTAACCTCTACCCTTCGGTGTAGAAAATATTGTTCATGCCGTCACGGTGACCCCAGGTTTAAAACCTATGGGAGGCTGCGGTGTACACGGCTTCCTCCCCGTGAGATCAGCTTCACATGACGGCATTTAAAAACAGCATGTTCTTTTTAACCTGAATTTTCTATGGAATCGATGTCCTCGGTCACGAAGGCCTGCACTGTCGTGTTTGTACATAGCGTGCTGCTGTGCATGACTTAGTCCCACGCGCTCTAAATGCGCTTCCCCGTGGCATAATTGTTGTGGCTTATACTACCTACACGAGGTTCTATTAAAGTGGATCAAAGACTGATGTGCATCCTGCTTGTCCTTCCCCCACCACAGTAACACCCCCAGACTCACGTGAGCCAGCGGGAGGTGGGCAGTGCAGAGTCCCGTCTGTGACCCCTGCCTCACCCCTCCGCCTGACCCCCTGGACTCACCAACGCCCCTTGAGGTAAGGCCAGCAGGCCGGCTCCACCTGGGCAGCTGGGGAAGGCACGGGGCCCCTCTGACACAGAGCACTGCTGTGGGCAGGGCTGCTGGGCCACTCAGACACCCTCGGGGCCATGCAGAGCCAGGCCTCACGCCACCCACCTCGCCTGCAGGGATACCTGCTGCCCAGGCTGGAAATCGCGTGCGTGGGCACACAGAACGCCCCCGTGCCGTCCGACCTCCGTTCACAGGAGAGGGCGGCCCGACGTGGCCCACGAGCAGCCAGGCCGCAGTGGCAATGCAGGCACTGCCCACTTCTGAAGAGCAAGGCCGAGGCCGCTGTGAGGTGCAGAGCCCCACGGGGCCCACCTGCTCACCTACGCCTGTCACTAGTGAGCAGGACGAGGTGCTGCGGGGGAGGGTGCTGGCTTCCCGCTGTGCGCTCTGCCACATGGACGGCACCAGCAGCCCCCACTGCCATTCCCTTCAGCCACACCAGGCCACACGGCAGGAGCAGGGTCCCCACAGCTGTCACACCAAGCACTAAGCCCAGTCCTCTGGGCACTGAGCATCTGTTGGGTAGACTCGGGCTGACCCTGAGCTTGGACAGGTTTGGGTAAGTCCTCTGCCTCCCTAGCTGTGAGGGCAGGGAGGGGTTATCGCCGTAGAGCCAGTCAGGGAAGGGAGGCTACCCCAGGGCTGGGTGGGGCATAGGCCTTCTCCTCTCAGGACCTCGGCGCGCACACATGCACACGCGCACGGCTGGTGTGACTTACCACGCCCCAGTCTAGGGCCGAAGCACAGCCAGGTGGGAGTCAGCACCCAGCACCACACCTGCTGGCCCCAGCTAACTACTTCCTACCAGGCCCCTAGCCAAGTGGAAAGCCAGTCAGCTGGGGTTGGGATCGAGACTGGTCAGCTGGGCGGGAACCCACAGGGAGGGTTTTACTACAGTGTGGGGAGGTGGGAGACAGTGTGCCAGATCCTAGTTCTCCCACCACCTTAGGGGCCAGCTCTGTGGCCCAGAGCTGTATGCGGCCACCCCGGAGAAGCCAGGTCCCACAGTGACCGTGGTTCAGGTCCCCAGCCTGGCCAGCCTGAAACATGCCAGGCACGTGTGTCGGTGCCCCTGAGACCCAGTGGGCAGTGAAGGGGGTGCAGTGGCAGGCCCCGTGAGGGTGCTCCAGCATGGAGAAACACGGAGACTAACCACCTCCTAGGGAGCACCCCTCATCACGTGTGTGCCCCCACAAGCGGCCCTGACAGGTCTGGTGCAATCACCCTACTCGGACCGGACCCCCTGACGGAATGTGGCTGTCGCCAGGACAGAACACGGCACGGTCACCCTGGGCCGGCTGCCTGGTGCAGGCCACCTTGACCCCCAGCACAGACAGGAACCTGGCCAAGGACCCTGGGAGTTTCAGGACCCAGTTGAGCCCCACGCAGCCCTAGGAGAGGAGCCGACGCCCGACGGTCCTGTGTCATTACTCTCACCGTCCTGTGCATCCTGTAAAGCCATGGCCCCTTGGCCGAGTGTCCAGGCGTCTCATCCAGCTGCGCCCCCAGTCGGCTGAGCAGTCTTAGGTGACCTGAAAGGGCTCCGCTGTTGGCTAAGGGCAGACACCGTCACAGTGGATGTGACAGTAGCGTCAAGTGTCCTACAGACTGCCAGGAAGAGGCCCAGCGACACCAGTGCTCCCAGGCCTGGGACCAGGACAGTGGTGGAGGGAGCCACGGCAGGCACCCAGAACTGGCCATCAGCAGGGGCCGCGCCGCCTCTGAGGCCGGAAACCTCCCGGCAGGAACACAGGGAGGGCCCCGGCTGCCCCTACCTGAGGCTACCTGACCGACCCTGGGGTGCCTCCATCTCGGCCCTGGCCAGGCAGCTCTAGTGAGGCGAGCGCTGGCACCATGGTAGGGCTGCCCTGAGAAATACCCAAGGGCCGTGGGGAGCGTCCACACTGCCAGCTTGACCGCTCTGGCTGGCCGCACCCCAACGCCCGCAGTCCCAGGCTGGGCTCTGAGGCGCGATGGAGTGGAGAGCAGGCGGCGTCGCAGCAGCAAACGGGTGTCCCGGCCGTGGCTCCCCCCTCCAGGCTCAGGCGATGGCGGGCTGCGTCCAAGCAGCACTTTATTGACGGCGGGGCACAGCGCGGTGTCCACGGGTGGCCCAGCTGCTTCCACACGGGAGGGGGCACCGTCCATGGTGGAGTTCGAGTCTCTGGGACAGATCCAGACCTTCCCTGCAGCAGTGGCCCCCAGCAGTCTCCCACGGTCAGCCCGAGCACCGGCCCGGCCTGGCCTGGCCTCAGTCCTGGTCGGCCTTCAGGGCGGCCTTGAACTTGCCCCGCATCTCCCTGGGCAGGGGCACGAGGGCCGGGCAGGGCACCTGGCCCTCCACTTGGCACATGCACTCGCGCAGGCAGTACCTGCGGGGCCCGAAGTTGGCGGGGTGGGCGAGCTGCTGCCTCTCCTGCTCCTCCCTCCTGAGCGTCTCCCTGCAGGAGGAGACAGCAGCCGGGCCTGAGCACATACGAGCCCGTCCCAGCCTGGACGGGGGAACCCACAGCAGACAGGACAATGGACAGAACAGGGGGGCCTGGACGTGTCTCTGCTGGGTTCTCCAAGGTGGCTTTCTTGGCCTCCTCCCGTCCTCCCCCTTCCCAGGGCCCCAGGGCCTGAGTCCTGGGGGCTGTCCCTATCACCCAGGTGGGGAACAGTCCCTCCCCCCACGACCCTGCAGGCCTCCCGACTCACTTGTCCTTGCCCAGGATCCTCCTGACGTGTTCCACGATCTCCTTGTTGCTCTTGGTCTCCACGTCCACCAGGACCTGCTCCCCGGTATCTGGGGACGGGCGCATAGGGACAGGCGTCGGGGCGGGCGGCGACAGCACGTGTGTGCAGCCCCGCGCTGCCCTTCTCGTCCCGGTTTCCTCCAGGGCCGCCCCACACGGGCTTGTCCAGCGCTCCCACGACCGGCCGCCCACGTGCAGACGGAAGGCAGGGGTCCAGACCGGTCCCCAACACGGAAGGGGGAGCGGGGAGGGGAAGAGAGAACAGACCCGGGACTCCAAAGTAAGAACTCGCTTTTTTAAATTCATGACTGGACGCATGTGCACACGTCGGGGGGGGGGAGATGCCCCTTCCACGGTCTTCCTCCAGCCATCGGACCGGACCCCGGGCACCCGGGCGCGTCTGCACGGTTCAGCTGCCGGGTTGGGGATCTGAGCTGTGGTCACCACGGGATCCGGTGTGTTAAGCAGCTCACCACCTCTGTGCCGCGGGGCCGGCCGTTGCCCAGCTTTTCCCTTCCGTCACGACAGAGCAAGTGCGCGGTGTGAGGGAGGGCTCTGGCCGCGCCCCAGCCTTCCTCCACCCCCAGCCCGGGCCACACATGCCTGGCGTGTCTCCAGGCCAACCAGGTGGGAACGCAGACTGCCCCTGCCTGGGGGACCCGGTCTCCCTCCGGCAGCGCTGTGTCGCTGTGCACCTAAACCTCTCATCAAACTCCTAGGACGGAACCTAGGAGGAGGTCTTCATGACACTGCCGAGACAAAGGTGGTTTTTTGGTTTGTTTTGGTTTGGTTTTTATTAGACATTAAAAATGTCCATAAAAGAAAAAAAATCAGTAAACAATTTAAAAAGCAAAACTTTTGGGGGCCAGCAGGTGGCATGGTGGTTAAGAGTGCTGGGCTCCCACATGGCCAACCACGACTCAAGTCCTGGATCTGGCGGCTTGCTTTCTCGCTCTCTCTCTCTCTCTCTCTCACTCTGTCCCTCTCTGGTCAAATTAAATAAATAAAGTTAAATAAAATAATTCTTTTTTTTTTTTTTGGAGCAGTTTTTGCTATAGATAGGCACATGCACTCACCAGACAGACAGAGAGAGACAGAGAGACAAAGTGAGAAGTCACCATCCGGGGGGATGGTCACGCCGCAATCCCTTCTCCTCCATTCTCCTCTCAGGATCTTGGGCACACACGCACACATGCCTGGCGTGAGTTTAAGCCACCAGGTCCGGGACTCAAACCGCGGTCGACTACGTGGGAGTCCAGTGACATAGCCATTATACTAACTGCTGGTCCCAAATTTTTTTTTCTTAATAAAATGAGTAAAGACAGGGCCAGTCCCACAGCTCAGCAGTTAAGGGAAGCAGATCCCACATGGCCAACATGTAATTCGAATCCTGGCCCTAATGGCTTGAGAAACATGCCAAGAGAATGCATGACCCCAAACCCTGACAGGATGGAGAAATGGAGACGGGACTGTGGCATTACCACGCCCCATGGAGGAGGTGGTGCGGCCTTCTCCCTCTCCCTCTGTCTCTGTGCAAGCACTTGTGCCCTCTGGTAGAAAGTAAGAAAAACAAAGAAAAAGAAAAAAAAAAAAAAAGGCACAGCAGGCATGTGTGTGTGCATGCCCAAAATCCTGACAGGAAAGAGAAATGAAGGAAAAGAACTGTGTTGTGACCGTGTCCCCCTGCGGGGTATTTTCTTGTTCTCTCGCTCTGTGCATCCCTCTTTCTCTCCCCCTCTGGTGAGTGCATGCACCCTGTACCAGTTACAACTAAAACAGTTTTAAAAAAAGAGAAGACAAGACATGTAGAAATGGGTCCTTGGCAGACGGACCAGCCTAAACAAAGCCCTCCCAGCCTGGTGTGGCGGGGTGGGGGATGGCAAGGTCCATATGGCGTGAGGTAGGGAATAGTAGACGAGGCTAGAGAGGAAGGGGGAGAGCAGGCTGCAGTCAGTGCGGGGCAGCTGGAAGTGACAGGAAGGCCAGAAATGTCACCGGTCACCGTGACTGCCCCAGCAAGA